ATGGATTAAATCAAAAGTTTACCATATTAAATTGTCATAGGATATCAATATATGAGTTGTAGCCTTCATGATGATGTTAAGTGATCTTATTTGGTGACATTTTCAAGAACAGGAATGTTGGTAAGGAATAACCTACACACATAGCTCATTTTAATTGATTCTACCATAAGACACATTGAGACAAATTTTGCTGGAGTCAATCTTATTCACTTTCACTTTCATTTCCCCCAACCTTTAAAAACTTTCTGGACATGGCATCACAAGGACTTCTTACCATCCATTCTGTTTCAGCTAAAAATGCATGTGCATCTGGTAAACTGACATACATTCAATGAAATATTTTGTAACTTATTTTTTCAGGTACATCAACATTCCCAGTACAACGTCCTTGTTTTCATCTTAGATAATTTTTATTATTTTGAAATTGTTCAATGTTTGAACTGTTATTCAAATATATCTTAAATTCATTTGAGACAAAAACCCAGGCCAAGTATTTAATAATTTAACCACAAAACTCTACTGATTTTCATTTTAAAATATCTCTTTAAAGTAAGAAGTACAAGAATACCATATTTCATCATTATCCTCCGAGTATTCTGGAAGCAATAAATCATAAACATGACCCAAGGGAACATACTTTAAGTCATAGCACGGTTGATTAAATTACAAGCGTGAAATGTCAGCCACATGACCTGTAGTGATCTTGGTGACTGGGCAACAAAGTAAACCCCAATCACGGTACCTGAACATTACTAGAAAAAGATACCAGACAATTAACAATATTCCAACTTGAGATTCAACTGGAGTAATGAGAATGTGAAATGCAAAGCTGCCACAGTAACCGAACCTCTATCTTTTGTGTAATGTTTTTTTTTTTTTCGGATTTTTTCTAAGGTACTCTTTTTAAGTTTTTTTTTTAAGCTCAGCTTACAAAGCAACAGAACATAAATGTGAAATAACTTCCGGAAACTTGTTTTAAAAAATCCAGATTTCTTCCATATTTAGCCCTGAAATCCCCCCTTAAACTTGAACTACTATTCCCCTTAACCATCTCAACTCTTTGAGTTTTCAAGTTTAGAAGTTTTCTTATGATAAACTTCATGACCTTTGACAAGTAGGTGAGGGGGAATCAATTGCCAATTCATCCATGCAGAGCTTGTTTTCTGAAATAAGTTTGCCCTAGTTACACATTCCTAATGTAATCATATTTGTGTGTTTGTCACATGGATGGACAGACCAAACAACAGACGCCTTTGGTCATATTCTGAAAGTGCAGATAAATATCCAAATGCATAATCATATATGTTTTGGTCTTCATACACGTAAGCTTTCAATAAATTAGGCTGAGAACCATAAGAGGAGCTAGATGACTGGACAATGGTGCAAAATGTATACATATAATTTTTTTTCAATACTTAACATCAAGGCTGGAATGGAAATAGATATCAAACATAAAAGTTTAATGTTACAAATTTAATGGGATATTAAAATTCGGTATCTTTACGGACCTGCATTTCTAGGAAAAAATTCATATGGCCATTGTGTCACATGGCATGGACAGTCACATGTGATCCAAACATATATAGATGAATTAGTATGTACATGTAAAATTCTATTAATCAATATCCAGGCTTACGATTGAAAAGATTTTTCTCACAAAATTGATAAAAAGATAGCAGAAAGATTAATAGACAGGGAAAAAAACTGATTCTTATATCCATGTCTGAATTTGTACAGTTCAGACTAGAAACTTGAACACTGTAAGCATGCAACGGAGGCTTTCTGAAATCACCAAACTGTTTACAACCAAACCCAAGTTCCAAAATCTTTCTGCAGTCTAAGATATAAACAATTTTTTGTTAAGTCAAAAATTTGCTACCAAACTTATGAAAAAGCAATGGACAATCTCAAAACCAAGATGATGTAGGGGCACTAGTTATGTGATTAACTGCAATTATAAGAATGATGTGTGGAGCTTTGAAGTGTCTAATGAGCAGTAGCAGTAACCAGGGTCTGTATTTAGCAGTGGCCCATGAGAGTCAAACAGGTGAACTTTAAACTGATTATTCAGTCAACCTGTCTTTAAACTATAATGAAAAAAGTTAGCGAATACACACACATGCACACAACGCCCATATATACATAAAAACCTGTCCAAAGAGCCCTATATTGTAATTGCATATTGGATCATTGCCCTCAGGATTTTAAGTTATTTCAAGTTGCCGCAGTCTAATAGAACTAGACATCTGGAAAAATGTATTCGTCTCTCTAAAAAGAAAGAAACAAGTAGGGAGGGGCAGAACAGGCTAAGATCACTCCGGCAGTGTCACTGTCAGCTGGGTTTTTTGAAACATGATATATTGTTTTCATTTCACCAGCTAAAAAGCATAATAGGAATGTATCCATTTTCAAATGCCTGCTTGGAAGATGTGCTAAGAGGTGTTATTCTGGAAAAGGTTTAGAGAAGATTCTGAACAAAGTATATTATCATATATAATTCTTTTATTTCACAGGCTTCCAATCCAAACTTTTCCACACCTTGGTTTTGTTCACAACAAACTTTTTTTTGCTAAATAAACTTGAGATTTTATTCTTAAACTCTAAAACTGACCAGGTGTAAATAAACTTGGGGGGGGGGGGGGCTGGGTTTCTGGTCTTCTAAACTGACAAAATCGTTTTTTTTATACCTTGTCTAAAACCTTAATATACAGTCTAAATATCACTTAAATTAAATCTGTAAGTTTCTGAAGCGAAACATTTTATTTTCTATTTCATTTGCAACTGTAAGGAAATTGAACACTATGCTCCACCCCCTTGATAACCAAGGGGTGGAGCTAAGTGGTTGTCAAGCTAATTGGGTGTCAGTTGAGACTGCAGGTCCCCTGTACCACTCCCCGGATGGGATGCACTGATTAGTGTCATTAGTCTTCTTTGTAAAATCTAATTTTGGTTTGAATGCATCCAATGTTTTGATTTCATATTGTCAAAGTTGCACCGATATTGAATAAAATATACTTTGATTACAATGATATAGTTTTAATACTTGAAAACAAAAAATACCTTTGTATATTATCAATCTATTACATGATAAAAAAGGACTTAATGAATTGCCAAGTACAAAACATTTGATTTCATACACCATTTATTGAAAAAAAATGTAAAAAATCAAACAAAAATGAAATTGCAAAGGCAAAAGAACATATCGGGATCCCTTTAGCACTTAAGTGTTTTGTAGTCTGTTCAGAGCCATTAAACTGTTAAATTAAATCTCGGATCCGAGGTTTAATTGCTAGACCCCTGCAGCATGTGGAGGTGGGGAGACCATCAAGGAATAAGCAGCATTGCTTTTGAAGCGGGGTCGGCCATATTTGGTCAGGGGATCAGTTAGTACTGGGATCATCTATTCTGAATGGCCCCTTAGTCTGCAGATCAAGTTGTTCTGAATGCACATATTATACCTAACTGACACCTTCAATGTTGCTAGTGTCTTTGTTTAAGATAACATCAGACAGTACTGTCTACCCCTCACAGATCACCACCTGTTTGAAATTTCACAAAATCTGTAAGGGTGATGGTGGGGCAGTCCATGAGGTTTTGTATAGAAGGCAAATGAACTGTTGTCGGGTGTGGTAACAGTCTCACCTACACCAAAGCTATTCATGACAATTTTTCTCTAAACAGATGAAATTAGTAATGGAGCTTTCTTATTTCTTTCAAAGTTATAGCATACCTGAGAAAGAAAACTGATGGTTTCTGCAGAAGATTTGGTTTGAAGGGCAATTGACTGGAGGGGAATTGACCTGGAGTTATTGTCATGTGTGGTAACAACAACAATTCTGGGCAAAATGATACGTTAATCATGACAATTTTTCTCTGTCATAGCTGAGCTCACTTCTGAAGCTTTCTTATTTTCTCATAATTATAGTAGGAAATATGAAAGCTGATGATAAGCAATACCATATTCTGTATTTAGACCTTTTATTGATTCAACAATTCAAGACTTAAAATAAACTGAACGACTGATTTGTTATGTACCATCTGCACTCTAAAGTGGGGGTAGAATATGCTGATGCAATAATTAGTCAAGGTTGATTATAAAGAACAGTAGCACTTGAAATGTTTATGCCACAATTGCCACAGTCTTCAAGATGAGCAGGGGTGATGTCTGTATAGGACACTTGAAAAATGGAGCTTTCCTATTTCTTTCAGAGCCGTAGTAAACAAGAAGAAGAACGCTAATGGTAATTGCTTTAAAATGAATTGAACCTTATCTCAGATTTTATATGCCATCTGCACAAATAAAAATTAACTGATCACAAACTAAAAAATGGGAGCGAAATACACAAAGTAATCAAGGTTGAAGTAGGAGCTCCAATGCTACAATGCCATGGTCTTAAGTTCTAGTGTGGCAGATGTTTCATAAGCTGCCCATTTTTCCCCCTCTGTGCACATGTCTCTTACCCAATTCTTCAGTATTAATTTGGTAGATTATTATCTTAAAATTTGTGTTTGATGAAACATTTATTTGAAAATTTAGTGATCAGGCTAGGCTATGTATGATTTTGTCTTTCTATTCAAAATACCCGCTCTGATGTTGAGAAAGTATAAACAACCTGGACCAAATTTACTACTATATCTAACAAACCAAACAGCATACACATCCAGGTTGCACATAAAGGGTGAGAAATACTCCATTAAAATATTTTGATTGGGTTTCCAGATCTTTTCCCTTTAAGCCCAATGCCAATTTCAATCTTTTGTTCTCTTAAAATGCTGTATTCACATATTCCTTCTAGATCAATTATAGTTACATGAAATTTATTGCCATCTGTTTTACCATCTCTGTGCATAATGTGTGAATTTAATGTTTTTTTTTTTATTATTGCAGGTAAGACACTGCCAATAATGGCATATTTAGGTCATACAGTCAGTCAGTCAGTCAGTCTGTATGCGCACGTGTTACTGTAGATTGGTATTACTGGTTTTAAATGCAAACCTACCTGGTGATTGCCACCTTGTCCTGTTGGACTGTCCCCCGGGCACTACCCGTCATGGAAAGCTCCATCTTCAATAATAATAATAATATATTTATTTAGAATCTTAAATCCATAAAAATACATTCTGTAGACTTTACAAATACAATACAAATACAATTAAATTATGAAGTTAAAAGTATTAATTTAGATTGAAAAATAATGGTACTAAGAGTAAAGAGAGAAATGTCCAATTATAATGTTCTGCATTAAAAATAAAAAGAAAAATATCCAATTATACCGTTTTGTAAAGTATAAAATGGTCAATCATAGAACTTATCAAAAAATTAGTTTTTAGTTCTTTTTTTAAATCATCTGCTGAACTTATGTTCCTTGGTTCTGATTGTAAACAACGAGAATTACACTCAATACAATGCAATTATTTAAATGACTGTTTAGTGTATATAGTCATAAACAATCATCTAAATACTCACTTATCTTCCACCTTTGTAATTACATCTCACATTTAATTCTTTATACAATATTTTCACAGATATGACATAATATGTATATCAACTTACCAATCTTTGTTTCAACTTTGATATCTCATCATCTTTGTTCTTCAGAGACTGAATAAATAATAATTCACAAACGTTATCTTGAAAATGAAAAGCTAAAATAACACCTTCATGGATATTTGTAACTATTACATATACAGCTAAAAGAAAAAAAATACAAGCTGTTTTCACTTACTCTGTTACTGGTATGTCAAATATAAACCTGCTCTCCATTTACAACTTTTCATTAACCATACTTAGCATTTCCAAGTATTTCAATAGCCTAAACCTTACAAACATATTACTGGACTTTTATCTAACAACTACACCAAGGCAACATGGCAGTTAGGACAACAAAAATTATCACTTACAGTTTGCAAATCCTGTACCCTAGAGACATGCATGGAGGAGTCACTCTCACTGCAAATAGATAAACATAAATAAATAAATAAATAAATAAATAAATAAATAAATAAATAAATAAATAAATAAATAAATATATAAAATAATGAATGAATGAAAAATGAACGATTAGGCCGTTCCTGAAGTATGCACCATCAGCAATGTTAATGAATGACAAAGACAAAATTTATTATATACTCATATTATGCATGTTTTTATTTTTCCTTAAAAATTAACAATAGAAGAAAAACTGCTTTATTGATCATTATCCAAGTAATTAAACACCATCCTTGTTACTTATGGTCACATACAGTCTTAAACCACTGTATCAAAATTAACATTTCATATATAACCTTAAAAACATATCAGTTCTCAATAAAACTACCGCTGCAAAACAATGTCCATATTAATTTCTTATTAGACCCCCAGAATTAGGCAAATGCTGCAGTAGTATGTTCACAGGTCTGGAAATGTCCACATGACCTCCCTTATCACAAATATAATCCTAGGTTCCAACTACAGTTATCATTATGGGATTGTCTGAGAAGTTTTTTTTTTTTTTAAGTCTGAGGTTATATAATAAATATGATTTATCATCTGTCATTTTCATATTGCTAGTGAGTTATTTCTGGTGTACTTTGAGTTACAAAAAAATGAACTTTATGTGGCATTAATATCAGGCATTCTCAGTCATCCAAGGTAGCATGACAAAAGAAAAGCCCACATATATGATTATCTATCTGTCATAAATTCAATCCAAGGCTTAACTTGGCATAGGTTATGAGCTCTGACTCTGACACATCTCTGACAAATCAGAGTAAAATCCAACAGTGGTAACCAACTTAAGTTTTGAAAAGAGATCAAAGAACCCCCCCCCCCAAAAAAAAAAAAAAAAA